TTGCCCGAAAAAGGTCCCTTTAAAACACATTGATTTGGAAATTCTTGCAAAACGCAGATAATTATTAGATTTTAATTAAAGTGACTTCGATCGTACTTACTCCCAGGAAGTGACATCATCATCATCATCATCATCATCATCATCATCATCATCCCCATAACTGGGTGCGGTCATTACTATGCAGCTAAGCACATGACCAGTTCTCTCTACATATCAGGACTGAAACTTAAAAAGGTATTCATTCATGCGTAGTGTGTCTTGGGCGTGTAGCTGTAGCAAATCTCATCACTCTCCAGGTCAAACCACAGACTTTGTCCTCTAACTCGAAGGCTTGCCTTCGTCACTGACACGTGGCTTTCTTCTTTTTTTTTTTTTTTGACTTCAGTCTAGGAAATTCTCCACCCAACGAAGCCGTATCATCACTATAATGGCCGCACACACATCTATGAGGGTTTAATCTATCCTCTTATGTTTGATGACCGTTGACCCTACAAGAGGGTTCATCCGCCCTTTGACAGGTCTCCTTTTAAGCCTACTAGCCGAGTGTCTAGCCATTATCCTCATCAGAAAAGCTTGGTGAAGAATCGCCTTATTCGCTGATTATCCGAACATGCGGCAGGAAGTATTATGTTATGTGGTATCAGTAGAATTACTAGAGTCACCTGGCATATCTGAAGGGATGTCAGAGCCCACAAATTTCCGATAGAAATTAACGACCCACACAACAAACCCCACGCTCAAAACTCAATTATGGGTAAGTAATAAATGTGGGTGACGATCACAAGCCAATCCTATCCAATGTATTCCACACTAACATCGTAGAGCGAAGACGTCGAACCTCCCACGAGCCTTTCCCCACAGTTTCAACCCTTGGTATTTTAAAAGACAAGCAACGACAACGAAAAATAAAATAAAACTTCCATTGTGTTCGACTACAGACAGAATTTGAGAGTTGAAATCTAATCTCCAGTTAATTTCCCACCGACGTAACATAGCTTTCTTGTGTCATTTCTACAAATATTTTCATCGTATTTGTTTTGGTGAGCTTTCCTCTTTGTTACCGCAACTTCACCAATTTAAGCGCGGTACTAAATTGGTATCTAAGTCTCATCATTCTACAGCTGAAATGGCTAGATATAGCCGTAAGTTTTATGCTAATAGTTTCTTCTCTCTCATTTCCAGCTTGTGGAATTTTCTTCCGGCTTCTTGCTTGCCAATCAACTTTGATCGGACTAACGTTTTCTGCTGAAGTGGAAAGATTATATTTAATCAAAAGCTAGGTAGGCTGTTATGAAAGTTGGTTCTCTGTGTCGAGATAGACAATTTTTTTCACTTGAATCTATCTTACATGTTGATAAGTCTACCATTGCTTTGAATATTTATCACATCTGATCTGGTATTCTTGCTATATAATTAGAGATTCTTGATAAAATTCAAAGAAAAAATCTGCAATGTCATTGGCATCTCAGCTTCAGTCAGTTTCCCACCGCTGTAACATAGATTCCTTGTGCCTTTTCTATAAATACATTCATGGCAACTGTTCTGATGAACTTTCCTCTATGGTATCTAGATTTTATGAATTTAAGCACAATACTAGATTGACAGTTAGGTCCCGTCATTTTACAGTTGTAATGGCTAGATGCAACCGTAAGTTCTATGCTAACAGTTTCTTTCATCGCACTTCTCACTTACAGAACTCTTTTAATTCCCAGTCAACTTTGATCTTCAAAAATTTAAACGCAAAGTCAATCGTTATTTGTCTTCTTAATTCCTGTTCTTTTATTGTTCTCTCTCCTTAATAGTGATTTTTCCTCATATCCTCTAACACTCAGTAACCCCTTGCGTCTTAGTACCTTGCTTAGGATGAAATGATAAAAAAAATTCATTCAACAAGCGAGGCAAATTAAATTTTTCAGGTACCCAGGATAATAACATCTCGTTAAACTTTGGCAATAAGCAGCGACCTTCTGGGGGATATATTTTCAGAATTCCGTAGAAAAGTTTTTTAAGCAATTTTTATTAAATCGAGACAGCTTTCTTCGTGTAAACTCATTTGCTGGGTTTCAATGTGATCTTTTTGTAATATAGGTCTACTGATGTCAATATTCTATCATTGCCGATCGGACCACGAACTAGCGCCAGTCACAATGAACGGATGTACCCTCGGGGAGGCACCGTGCCCTGATAGACTATTGGGCCTTAAACTCACACCTGACCTCAAATGGAACTCGTACATACAAACCTGTTCTTCCAGTAGCTCACAAATAATGGACTATTCTACGTTTTGATCGCGTGAAAGGAGGGGAAAAGACATTACTTCATTTCAGTAAGAAAATAAGAGAAGAAAGAAAGGAAGATAGAAGTGGAGAGAGAGAGATAGAGAGAGAGAGAGAGAGAGAGAGAGAGAGAGAATCAGATTAAGCTGATATAACAGATACTACACTTTGATCTTAGCCCGAAGGCGGATCACGATAAAATCGCCATTTTTCAGACGCACAGTATCGAACGATGGAACCGAGTGATGTAATCGCCAAAAATCCAATTACCATAAATTAAATAATGTAGCATCGTCTGCTGAATTATTTTAAAATTACAATTAAGAGAAATGTTCGTAAGACAACGATTTGGCTAGAAAGAAAGAAAAATTTAAAGGAAAATACAAGTGTTTAACATCTCCTGCCAATACCTCATAAATAATGGACTATTCCGTTTTTATTTGTGTGAAAAGAAAGGAAAAGACACTATTTGATTTCAGTCAGAGAATAAAAGAAAGAAAGAAGAGAAAATAGAAGTATTTAACAGCTGTTTCATTAAAATGGAAAAAGTTGTCCATTTCAGTTTTTTTCATTTGTATATCCACTTGTTAAAATAACGACCAGCATTCATATTTATGATTATTATTGCAATATTTAGTTAAAGTCGCTGAGCTCAAATATTTAACGATGCAATAGTGAAATTTCTACGAATATTTTAATGTAGAACTCGCCGAGAATTTATTCACTCATTAACTTAAGTTAAGAATTAGGAAAATTTAAATAGGAAAAGGAAAAGCGTGAAATTTTCGTGGATCTTTCTAGTAAAAAATAAACTGTATAAATAAACAATCTAATAAATAAATAATGTTTATTATTTTAGTTGTCAATTCTCAAAATAAAAATAAAATGTATAAATTTACTTTCATATGTTCATTACAATTGTAATCATCTCTTTTTAAAACAATAAATATTGCGAAGAATGAAGGTAGTTAGAAAAAGCGGTGTCATGGGAAAAACCGTCCTTTTGAGACCCCGTCTTATTGCGCGTATGTTTATCCATATTTGCCAGTTTTATGGTCTGTTAATGATTCCATCTTTTTCCTTGATTTGTTCGGTTTTAATTTTTGAGTTTTCAATGGCGAATCCGCTTCACTATCCGTTTCTGATTGGATAGCTGAAATGCGTTGATCATCGAATCGTTGTTGATTACAACACCATATGCACTGCTTTAAAATTTGTTTTACGCTGGCAGGTAAAAGTCCATAACACCCATAAGTTCCTTCTATCATTTTGTTATATTAGCGAGTGACAAACACCTTTTCTAATTTCTTTGCAGTAGTTTCACCAAACTCTGAAAACGTACACACTAGTTTTAGCGTTTGAATTTGATGATTTCACATTGGGCTGTTCTTTTTCCACATCAAGCAAACCCTAAATTTCCTCTAATCACGATGACTGGTCATGGGAAAAACCGTCCTTCTGATACTACATCTTATTGAGGGAACGCTTGCCATAAAACTTCTAGGTAAGCTTGGTTACGCATATTCATCTATCATCCAAACAACGTTTACATTTGTGTGGTTATCTTCCAGGACCTAACAATTAACGTCAGCAGGATCAAAAATAGAATTTTAAGGCTTGGTTCATAGGATGGAATGTGTCAATTTGGTGCTTTATTGAATCGTTCTTTTCTAAATACCATAAAGCCCATTTAACACGTACACAGTCTCTTAATTCTTATTCTTCTAAGACATGGGCGAACATGGCTCTCTACAACTTCCTATCTTTTTTATCCCTAAGTAAGGTTTGTCATTTTCACAATCCTTCCCTGTTCTGCTATCCATTGACACAAGATTAGGTAGGTTATTCTCTGTTTACCCTCTGCCTCCCTTACTTTCATTATGTCCTGTGAGTATTATATTCCCCAGGCCTTCTTTCCTCATTATGTGTTGTAGAAATTTCAACTGTTTCTCTGATTCTAAGTTACCTTTATATTTCCATTTTCCTTAAAACATCTTCATTACTCACATGGTATTCTCAGCATCCCTCTGTAGAACTACATTTCCGCTGCCCCAAGTCATTTATTCGAGTTTATCATGAAATATGGTCGACAATGGCTGCTTTAAAAAAAGTTGCATTTTACCCTTTTTTCGATTATTACTTTAAGATAAAATTTTGTTTTGACTGCATTTTACCAGAAGAGTACTTACAAAATACTTACATTGCAGTGACAACCAGCGAGTATCTTCTATGCATTGTGACCCTTCAGGGTGTGTGTGATCACGGCTCTCCCCAAGTTCTTATCCTCTGTAATATTTGTCTGTTTACCATTCTTCACTCTCTCTGTTCTGCCATAAGCTTGTCAAGTAAGTGGCTTGCTACCCCACTTTGTCTTTTTGCGTTCGATATGTCCTGTGAGTGTCAAATTTTCTAATCCCTCCTGCCTCATAATGTATCCCAGAAATTTAAACCATCTCTTCCTGATTCTAAATTTCCCTTTTTTATTTCCATTTTCCTTAAGACTTCTTCGTTGCCTACGCGCCCCGTCTATGGTATTCTCAGCATGCTTCTGTAGAACCATAGATACAATACAATCTATTAAATTCATAAATATTTAATGAATTTAATTAATTCTATTTATAGAAAATGATATTTTCATGCAAACTAAAACTGTAAATGATATTGAATTTATTGAAGAAAAATCCGAGAAAAAATTGTGGTTAAGGTTTAGTTTTGAATTAGCTTACGACCACATTACGTTAAAACACCTGTTTCCGTACGATCACTAAAGTTAAGCAACATCGAGCCTGGTCAGTACATAGATGGATGATCGCTTGGGAATACCAGGTGCTGTAAGCTTGGGTGTGCGGCTGGTGTAATGACTCGGAATTGGAAATTGGAGAGACGAGTTTTAATTCCAGTCGGGTTTGTTATCGGCACTTACGTTCAAATAACGTTGGGAAAGGTATGGATCCACCTCTTCTCCCCTCTCAATGGGTTAATTAATAAGTCTCGTATCATTAAATCATTATTATCTCTTCGGTTAATTAGCTTGTATCAATAAACATCGTTATAATCTCCAAAGATTTATTACAATCTAAAATATTCTCTGGCTTTAAATAACCTGCAAATCAATCAATCAACTTTTGAATTAACTATTAATTAAAAATATTATTTTCCAGATGTACTTATTGATTATAACTCTCATATTTTTACTAATTCACTTTATAAAATTTAATCTAACAGGGCCTGTGCGAGTCTATGATGCGGGACCACACACACTAATACATTTCAATTTTTCTAAGGTAGTATTCATATAAAATACAAATTTTATTGTAACCTAATTATGTAAAATAATGGATCATATGCAATTCAACTGGAAGAATTGCAAATAAATAAAATGCTTACTTACCATTTTATTACAAGTTTGGCACAAGGTTAAAAGGAAAATGCGGTGAGATTGGTCGACACTGACTATCCTAAACCGAGCTAATCTGGTTCGCGACCCATTCATTAATTACAGTTTACTCTATCCCCACAAGAACTCATCCATCACCATTCGATCCAACATATACCACAATACCGCTATGTGATCCTACTAAAATGCACATGACATAAAAATTTGCTCATATACATTTTTTTTGGCAAAAATATATAAAAATATATGACATGAAATGAGGTGGGAGATGATGAACCCAATAACGAAAATAATGTAGAACCAAACATCTATATAAATAAATGCGAATGTCAGTGCGTCACACCTTTCAATTTTACCCCTAGAGGCCGTAGCTCAACATATCATACCATTTTGTAATCAGGGTGACTCCGTGAGCAAATTAAAAACATTCCGGGCAGGACCTGGACCCGTAATTCTAAAATTTTGGATTCGCAAGTTTTCGTTACTGCGTTTGTTTTCGGCGATTTTTTACGTGATATTTTTTTTTTATTTTTGCGGCAGGAGCATTATCGTTGAACTATTAAAAGGTTAAACATTAATGCAATACTGAAATGCAGAGATCAATTTTGAGTTCTGTACTTTATTGTTGTCTATCGCATACGGCAGTAGTATGCCTCGCAAAAAGAAATCTCCGCCAACAGAGGACCAGATTGCAATCAAAAGAGCCAAAGCTGCTGCGAGGAAAACCCAGATCAAACGGCAGCCAGGAGAGCTTCTAGTGCTGAGAATATGCAAATACTTAGGGACTCTCAAATTCCTGAACAAGCCAAAGGCTCAATCAAGAGCCCTTCGCAGGAGCTAGCTTAATTGCTGACCGATAGTTCAAAATAAATATAATGTATCTAAATAAAATTATAGACCTGTCATAATAGATCATTCCATCTTAAATAAATCAATAATGTTTTGCAGAAATTTTCAAAATCAACTTGAGATTTTTCTTGTTAAATAGTTGAATAATTCTAACACATTAAACATTATGGATAAAAAGGCACATTTTTAGTGTGATTATCGAGGCTTAGCATGAGCAAAACAAATTCATGTCAAGGATTGGTTAAAAAAACAACCCCGAATGACGTCAAATTCGGGAAAAGTTTTCATCCTTTAACCGCCAGTTCTTCTTAGTTTAATTTGTAACGTATATACGTATATTTTGACTTGTAACGTATATATTGATTTGTAACGTATATCCGTAAATTTGATTTGTAACGTATTTCCGTATATTTTGATATGTAACGTTTACACAAATATTTTGATAGTGTAACGTATATACGTATATTTTAATTTGTAACCTATACCGTATATTTTGATCTGTAACGCTTACACGAATATTTTGATTTGTAACGTATTTCTGTATATTTTGATCTGTAACGTTTACACGAATATTTTGATCTGTAACGTGTATACTTATATTTTGATTTGTAACGTATATACGTATTTTTATCTATAACATATATGCGTATATTTTGATCTGTAACGTATATACGTATATTTTGATTTGTAACTTATATAGGTTTATTTTGAACTGCAATGTATATGCGTATATTTCGATGTGCAAAGTATATACGTACATTTTCATTTGTAACGTATATACGTATATTTTGATCTGTAACGTATATACGTATATTTTGATTTGTAACTTATATAGGTTTATTTTGATCTGTAACGTACATACGTATATTTTAATTTGTAACTTATATAGGTTTATTTTGATCTGTAACGTATATACGCATATTTTGACCTGTTACGTACGTATTGATATTGATTTGTAACGTATATACGTATATTTTGATTTGTAACGCATATAACTGTATTTTGATCTGTAATGTATATATGTATATTTTTATTTGTACCGTATATACATATATTTTTAGTCCAGCTTGTTAAAAAAATTTGAAAGTCGTTGTAATTCGTTTAATAAAAGTTTTTCTAAATAAGTATATAGTTTAATTAAAATTTTTTGGTTTTCTGGGAAAAAGGAGACAATTTTTTTAATAAGAGGCTCGGGTGTAGGACGCATTGGTCCTGTAATCTAGTTTCAATTCTTGCCTCTTAAACTACAAAAGTGAATGTCTTGAAAGATTTAAATTTGCCGTCATTAAAAATTTAATCCAAAAACTTAATTAATCTCATCTAAAACGATTTTTCTTAAAGAATTAAGTCACATAAAAAACTCACTGGCTTCTTTGATTAGATTTTTGACTATCAGAGTAGACTTTACTTACACAAGAATAATTTTAATATAAATACGCGTTTTCAAGATAAGATTAATAAAGAAAAGACTGCATGTCTGTCTTCTTCAAATTATATTAAAAATTGTATACAAGTATAAAAAGAATATAAAAGTACAAATCTTTATACAAACAGGACCTGTCTTGAGAAAATCTGTTCTACTGAAAAACAAAGCGACAAAACGAATGAAACGCAACCAGTGCGAATGGAATGCAACTGAACCGTGAGTCACATGATGGGGTTTGTAATGATAAATCATCAGTTACCTCCCCTTAAGATCTAGGATGTTCAAAAAAACATCCTATTTTATCCGTCAGAGTAATCAGAGTAAAGTGCAATAAAGCTTTGGTATAAGTTTATTCACTGGTTCTGTTTTTATTACAGGGATTGTGCTCATCGTTAGTTGATTAATTACTGTGATGAATTAATCAAATAATTTAGTATAAATCTTAGGAAATTCTCCTGTCATTTTTTTCATCCACCCGGTGTGTGACGTTAGTAGTTTGCATACGTAGCTATTCTCATGCGTCATTACTATTATTGTTATTATTATTATTTAATTAGCGTTGTTGTTGTCGTTGATGGTGGTAGTGGTGTTCTTGATGGGGGTGGTGGTGCTGTAACTCTTCTAATATTTTACAACTTTTCGAAGAACACGATTTTCAGAAAAGAAAGACTCAATGTTTAACAATATTTCAACAATACCGCGGCCTTCTTCAGGTTATACATAAAACAAGAATGTATACAAGTATAACTCAAGTCTTATGTACAAATGTCGGTTGCCTAGAAAGAAAATGATTTCATTATTTTTCTAGGCAGCCGACGTTTGTGTACTTTAGACTTGTATGCATTCATGTTTTAAGCATAACCTGAAGAAGGCAGACATACTACCGAAATATTCTTAAACATTGGGTCTTTTCTGGAAATCGCGCTCTTCTAGATTAATAATAATAATAATAATAATAATAATAATAATAATAATAATTGGAGCCCTAGGACTGATTGGAAAAGATTGCAGTAGACTAATTGAAGGGATTCCTGGAAGTCCATGCCTCAAGGAGATACAAAAAATTGTTCTGACAAGTACAGCCCACACTGTACGAAGGGCTTTATCTATGTAATTTTTTTTGTTTTGGGGTAGTGGAAAGTGTCATGGTGCCATTTCTAACCTTAGATCACTGGGCGGGACCCGGAAAGAAATGTGTAAACGCTAGAAATCAAAGAAAATAATAATAATAATAATAATAATAATAATAATAATAATAATAACGACGAGTAGGTGCTAGACAGCAGACTTATTGACTAACCTTTGTATTCTGCAGTTATTGTAAAATAGCTCCATATATTCATGATATTTCAGAATATTTGCTCAATTACTATTTAAGAGATAAATGCAAAAACACTTCAAAAGCAAGATATTTGTCGAAACTGACAATGGATTTTTTTAGAGCGAATATTAAATTTATACTTTCCTCGGCTATTTGATCGTTTACTATAAATAAAATTCTGTGTTAATATGTCCGACCGAAATTTATCTTTTCTCTAAAAGGATTAAAACATTCGAACGTTTTGCATGATAATATCTCTCTCTCTCTATCTCTCTCCTTCCCACTCTCTCCGGAGATGTGTGTGTGTGTGTGTGTCTGTGTGCGTGTGTGTGTGTGTTAAAAAGCATTCTCTCTCTCCCCCTCTCTCTCTCTCCCTCTCTCTCCCCCTCCTCTCTCTCTCTCTCTCTCTCTCTGACCCTACTTGGAAATACCGCGTGCGGTGAGTTTGGATGTGCGAGTGGTGCAATGGAGAGCCGAGTTCGAATTCCAGTCGGGTTTTATATATTCGCCTACGCGCAAATAGCCTTTGGAAAGATATGAATCTACATCCCCCACCCAATTATGGGTGAATTAGTAGAAGTAGAATTTGTATCAGTAAATCATTATTATCTACAAGAAATTATAACAATCCAAAAATATTTTCTGGCTTTAAATAACCGGCAAAAACTTGATAAGTCTTAAAAAACAACTCAGTCAATCAATCAAACTCTCCCCCCTCTCTCTCTCTCTCTCTCTCCCCCCCATCTCCGTAGATGTGTGTGTGTTAAAAAGCATTCTATTAAGTATTTTACAAGTACAGACTTAACCTAATACTTCCCCGAAGATAAAATTTATACCCCGTCA